CTAGCTTTTGTAGCTAGAGTGAAATATGATCAGAGGCTCCGGACGAGAGAATGCAGTAATATTTATCAAGGCGGAGTGAGTTCGAATGAAGGGGAAGAAGTCAAGGTTATGATAAGGAAGGCTGTTTACTAGAACAAACAGTGCATATAAAGAGTAGAGCGTTAAGAAAACTAATAACTATATCTTTTATCGTACGATTTTTTATATATATTTTTTATCCGATGTCATGACAATGTTCTATGACGATACTCTGAAATGATTATGTTTAACTAGTTGTAGTGTTGATTGAACATTAGCCAAAAGAAAATAGGGATTTTTGTTCTAGGTGCTCCCGAGATAGCAGAAGTTTGGGGCGTGAAGGATCCGAGCTGCCTGATTATATTACTAAGTGTAATTTTAAAAATCTACATAGTATTAGTGTTAGTTTTAGTAGCGGGCTCCGGAGTTTTGACTTTAAATATTTGTTTAGCCAACAACTGCCTGATAGTTCAGTTTATTATACTGGTGCAGTATGATGGTATCTGAATTTGTAACTTTATTACTTAGACTACGTTCGTCTCTTTGGGCTACAAATATGATAGACCAATTCATAAGCCCAAATACGTATAGGAATATTGACTATGACGGGTTTATTGAAAATGTTCGAGGTGATTCAAATGATTCTTAAATTCAAAAGACAGCGATATAATGCAACGTATGTACGGGCCAGGTTTAACATGTAGGTTGTTGAGGTGTATGATAAGTTAAAAATAGTAAACATGGCCATAAATATATTTTTAAACTTAAGACACCTTATGGAACTTTAGGTAGGAATGTGATGAGTTATAAAATTTTCATAAGTTCCTGTATTTAGCCAAGCAACATATACAAATATGACGCAAAAGCAATTGAAACTTAGAAATGTCCTTAAACAACACACTTTTCCTTAATAGCATGAAGCTATTAAATATTTCTTATAGCAAAAACATTTGGGGAGTGGTTCATATGCAGTATATACGATTAGTCTCAGTGAGAATATATATATGATAAGTACAGTAAAACATCCAGCAAAATAGTTTGGCTATTCTGAATTATTTTCGGGACTTAGATTATTCAGTAGATTTGATATATATGAGGGAATTTGTGACTAGTAGTGATGATCCAAAAGCATCCAGAATAAAAGATGTAGTATGGTAACTAATTCCAGGGTGCTTGGTGCTGTTGAAGTCTTTGTCGAATCAGAACGATTGAGTGAATCCAGGCAATTGTGTGGCTGTCATGCTATGAACCATCTAAAATGACCTTATGATTACCGAAAATTTATGGACTAAACCCATTGTAAGTTTCCTCGATGTTACCCTCGTTGTTTGGCAATGGAACTCGGAAGTTGGAAATTAGGGAGGCAGTGATTGGAAGAAAACATATCATGAGATAGTGCATAGTTTAAAACAGATTGAAACGTAAGGTGAAGAAAGAATATGAAGAACTAGGTCCAGGTAACTATTCAGTCCCTGCTTACGTCACAAGTCAATATATATACGTTATTCATAGGTCATATTTGCTAGTTTGATGTTTAACAAACTTATTCCTCTTAAGCACATAAATGCCATTAAAACTTGTTAATGAACCATCAAAGCTCGTCAAGAAAACGATCCGTATCCAGACCACAAGATGCAGATGATCCTGATTGTTTCGGCACCACATTAAGTATGGTAAGTCTTCCAGAGACCGCAGAAAAACACTTCAGTTTTCCTGAGCCCAAACATATTACGATGAACCATTTAAGAAACATCCCCACTGACGAGCGTTAGTAGAAACTGCGGAATTGGCTGTCTGTAATGCACCACTAATTTGATGATGAAATTTCGCTACCTCATTGACACTGGCTCAGAGATAAGCGTTTTTCCCGCGAATTCCACAGATTATTTGCACGAACCGGTCTTCAAACTAAAAGTGGAATATGGGAAACTGATCGGCACATACGGTAGCGGATACATTTATTTTAACATGAGTTTACGCAAACCCATTCTCTGGATTCGTGTTCACACAAACTTTCATGCCAATCATTGGCACAGTCCTGCTACAACCTAACCTACGCATAGACACCAGCGAACAGCGATTAGTTTGCGTAAATACTGATCTATCTGCTTGTGAAACTTCATTGTTTGGTTGTAGGTTATGCCCAGTCACAGTAAGTCACACGATCGATCCATACTATCAACAAATATCCGATAAGCAACCCGAGATATACCCAACGCGACTACAAACCAGGACACCAAAGCACCAGCCAGTATCGTAGTAGACGCGTAGTGGCATTGGACCCTATCCACACAATCCTTAAGGCTGAACACGAGACAACTGGGAGAATACATAATCAACATTTAACGCAGAGAAAACCCAATGATGGGGGAGGCGGGAACAAGCAATGGAATGGATTCGAATTGACCAGATGGCATGGATCAGCCTCGCAGGCGTGGTCACTATCGACTGTAGTAACATAATATTCTGCCCATATTAAATATACTGTTCTATATCCAGCCTAAATGTGTCCTTCATCATATATTGATAATTGTTATCACGCGATGAGTTGGTGTAGACAATGATGTGACTTCCACGTAAAACATTATAGATCAGGCAGTCGTATCACTACAAATCCGCAATTTTAGGATCGGGTCTATTATTAGAGCAGTACTAATATCATAATACATCCCAATTCTACAGATCTAGTGCTACATTAATATTATTATCATCGTTTGTTCTTCAACAGTTGGGCTTCCTTGTGACATATTTCCCCTGAATTGTTGGTATTTCAGACCTCCTGATCAGGACCATGATTTTGCTCCTCAACAACCTCGTGACATGCAAATTCGCGTGATATTGTAGCAGACAGCAGTTCACATCGTAATGAGGTATCCTAAATTCTCAGACGAATAATTATATAAGCTGTTAGAATTTTTATTCAATATATCTGACTTTAATGATCTGATATAAGACAACGCTTTTGCGCACCTTCACTTTAGGTCGAGTTTGAAGAAATTTTCTAATTTACAATAGTTCTTCAAAGAGACATAGGGTACCGAATTAACACATATATTTGAGCATAACATGATAACAGTCGCCGGCTAGGCCACATGCGAAATCATAAATTTTTTCTACAACATTATATCTCAAATTTTAGTGTAAGGCCCGATATAATCTAGTTGGTCGATTTTAACTCATCGCCTTCAGATGCACTCAAACATCTCTTCATTTTGAAGTTTTCCAAAAATCAGTTGGAATGCTAGGCGCGTTTCGTCGTGTTCGTGCATGTAATTTGAAGTACACAAAAGTAAGAGCGCAGCCTTTTCTTGCACATCAAAACCTGGTGAGTTTGAAAGGGCAGGGTGTGATTTTTCAGCTATAGAAAGCTGACTTTATGTCGTTGCTGGATCAGTTATGAAGTGAGTAACCATGATTCTCAAACTAGCATACGGAATAGAGGATAAGGGTTTGAGGTGAGCCTTACAAAAGCTCTCTTATAACCGCCAGTACGACCAGAATCGTCACTATCGGAATAATGGATACAAGGGCAGAGATGGAGTTTATGAACGATTGGCTTCTTCTTAACTAAAAACGCCATATACGTTCATAATCACTGCTAGCCTTTTCTGGAGTTGCCCTGCGAAATTTTGAAAACACAGGTTGTCTCGTAGAGACAATGTTTTATGAGATTGCATGTCAAGCTTAACAACGTTGTCATCGCTTGGTAGAGTTATTGATACCTTAGAGTTACATGTTAAAAGCACGCTTCAAATGAGTAATCGATTCTTTGCGGTTATGAACTACAACAGGAAAGTAATACTAAGCAAATAAATCATTCATTGTACTTGTGCTCTGGACTATTTAATTTCGCCCATGAATGAGTTTCCATATGAGGCAAACCTATTTATATGCCAAAGATGTAAATACATGCCGACACAAAATGTATTCTTCTATATACAGCGAAAATTTACCACCGATTACTAACAGACTAAGCACTGTACCACTCTGACAAGCGGTTGAGGCTGAAATGAAAATACCATCTTCTGCATGTGCGTCAGTAAAGTCATCGAATTTCCCTATAAGATCAACGAAATATAAAAAAACGTTTGAAGATTTCGAAAACGCATATGGAGTTAGGGTAACCTTGAGTCGGAAGTCTTCTTGTAGTGTTAGCGATAGGACTTCGCTGCAGTACATTTACTAAACTATTGGGAGTAACTTATTCTTCGTCAGGAAAAGTATCTTTCCGGTGGCCGGTGTAACTATGAAGTTTGAGAAAACCTTCAATCACTTCGGGATCAAGCGAGAAAGATACCAACGTAGAACAGGTTGCTAACTTTACTTTCGCAAATTATAAGGCTTTTTTTGAAGGAGTTCGCATAAGTATACTGCAATTGGTGGTTTCGATATTGCGATATTTCTGTGGGTAGTTCCCCTGCTAGATTGTTCTCGAGTTTTATGTGAACTTCCAATTTACGACAGTTTTGAGCATTAGTTTTAGCATTCAAAGGACTCCGTTGGACATGGAAGTCAAGATTCTGACGACAACTGCTTGACCGCGTATTCTTCTTTTTCAAGTCAGTAAATCGGCGATGGGGATGACTCATCACTTACAAGAGCAAAGAAAATTACTTTATCGCAAATGCAGAAACAGAATATGGTAGAGATTCAATCTGCACCATATAGAATGCCGGTAATATTATGAGGATCTACCTTTCATGGACAGATAAATGTTTTATGCGTGGCAAACAAACACTTGGAGCCAATTTAGTACGTTTACAGGTTCGTTTCTGTAGGATATCAATTACTCAATTGGTTTAATACAAGATATTGTGTTCAAACCTGTTCATGCTCTTCTAGAAGCCTTGTTCTGTTTATTTAATGATGAGGATTGAAAAAAATACAAATTGATGATGTTAATGAATTGAGGCCAAACGTATTGGACATTGAATAGATCCTAAAAATAACACTTTCAAAAGTGTTACGAGTTTCTGTTTCTAATGCCTCCTTGGCGCTTATACTTTACTTATGTTTCCATAACTATTGGGAGTTCCTTCGTATTCGGATATCATACAGGAGTTATCAACGCACCATTATCGGTAGGCCTTCAAAGTATGATGAGGATATTTTCAAAGCTCATCCAAAATTTTACGCAAAATGTTATTGATGAAAGACGATACACATGTGGCTCTTCATGCGTGAGGGTGATTTTGTCAATATGCGTAACGGGATTCGTTATCGGTGGGTTATTTGGTGGCCTGTTTGGTGGAGTTTTAGCAAACAGACTTGGTCGGTATGTCTTTCAACTGTAAATGACTTTAAAATCTAGAAGAAAAACATTGTTTCTTCTCTCCATTCCAACAATTTTGGGGTCTGTACTCATCATGGTTTCGGTGTGCTTGAGATCGTTCGAGGCTATCATATTCGGAAGATTTATAGTTGGTCTTTCTGCAGGTAACCCTTTTTGAAATGTATTCGAATGGTTTTTTAGGTGCTTATACAGTTGTAACACCTACATACCTTTCGGAGATTGCTCCAGTAAAGTCACGTGGTGCAGCAGGGGTTATGAATCAATTTGTTACAGTGCTAGCCATTCTTTTATCACAGGTCCTAGGTCTGTCTCAAGTAATGGGGACGGATAAATTCTGGCCATTCTTGTTGGGTAATAATACCATTTTTATGATCCCGTTTCAGGTCTTTGTGCTCCTGTTTGTCTTTTGCATGTGATACTCATGATGTTTTGTCCTGAAAGTCCTAGCTACTTGTATTTAGTAAAGGGAGACAAAGATGCTGCAAAACATGGTACGTTTTCGTTAGTTAAACTCTTTAAACACTGTAGCTCTTTTGTTACTAAGAGGTAAGAACTATGATGTCTTTATGGAGCTTGACTCCTTTCAACGAGACCCGGAATATAACACTAAACATTACTTTGGAATGGATAACTTATTTCGAGTTCAACATCTCCGATGGGGTTTATTTGTTGCCCTTATTCCACATTTCGGGCAGCAACTCTCAGGAATCAATGGTGTAAGTTACTGATTGATTACTTTTACAATTATGATATATAATTTAAATTTATCTTAAATGATAATAAGCAATTTAACTTGAAAGCGTTACTAACCTATTTTAATGAGCATTACTATCAGATAAGTTTAGATACTAGCTTTAGATACTAGTTACATAACCCAGTGTGATAATTAGAAGTATTTGAATTTTTAGACGAACCAGGAATCTAAGAGTCAGAGCAATTTAAACCGCACAGAACTGTGTGAGCACAGACAAACGTACTGTATTTAAAATTCAACATCGGACAAACATCGAGTACAAAAGAATCATTAGTTGACACAAACGCCACACCAAGCTAGCTGTTTCTTTTCTTGTTTGTTCAAGATTCAGCACCAATAAAAAATTCATCATTTTATACAAACACTTTTGCGACTAGACTAGGCATGTAGAGCATAGATTCGTTTGGATGGTTTAACAATTAAATTCTATAATATTTCTATTAAGACTTGAACATTGGAATCATGTATAAGTAAATCTTGATTTGCAGTAATCGACAAATAAAGACTCTTAGAAGTACAAGAAATCAAAATTCATTGTATCAGTCAGTCGTCATTTACAGGAAAGTATTTATTAACCAATTTTACTCCTATACAAATGGACTAAACGATTATTTTTTATATTCGTTGGTATGGTTTCGAATTAATGTATTATTTAAAAGATATATTTTTAATCACCACGGTCTCAACATTGTCATTATCAGCTTTTATTACAACTAATAAGATATCAAAGTTTAATGTTTAGTAAAGTTTGAATAAAAATTGCCATGTCATATGATGGGCCAAGTTATAATACACATCTTGGTTAATAAAGTAAATTTTTGAAGGTAAAATATTCCAACACTTTGTCTCGTATTAACAAATGTGTTTAGAAAACTGTAGAAGCCTCAAAGTTCATTTTATGAAGCCGTGATATTTAAAACCTGATACTTCTGCGGGTAATAAATAAATCAGCTTGGGTTATTAATTTGATCATCAACTTAATGGTCTCATTCTCAGCTTTCCGCCAAAAACTTTGATACACATTTTTAGCGCATCCACTTTCTTTTTATAAATAGTGAATTTAAAAAACGCACAAAACATCAAAGTCATTTAAGTTGAAACATACAGAATTTTATGATAAAAACCGGCATCCGATTGTCCCACATTCTGGTTGCCTTTCATCTTAAAATTATTTTTGTATTAACAGCTTATCAAAGTTAATCTGCCGTCTTGTCTGAGACTAGATTTTTGTTTAACGCAGTTAATGCTCATACATGAGACAACTGATAAAAAAAGACAGCTTCCCAGAAATTCTGAGATTTGTTAATAGTAAATAAGTGTATAAATGACATCAAACAGAAGCATAACTTTATGTTTTATTCTTTCTCAGCCTAGTGAAAAAACAGACTACTTACAAAGCCAGCAAAGTGAGCTGCCGATTTGACTACTTGCCGTGGTAATAGGGCTGACATGCAATACGATAGTTGTTCTAATGCTTTTATGTTTATTTATCGGCTTGCATTGCGAAAAGTTTTAATTTTGACAATCATTTTGTATTATTTAATTGACTGAAAATATTCTATTCTCTGTATACAGAAAAAATAGAATTTATATTCCACCTCATACATCGCTTAGCCGTTTAGATAACTGCAGAAGTTATAAAAACTTATTTCAATCTAAAGGTTTATTTCTTATAAGCAGGTGAATATTTTATTGTGCATTTGTGATCAAATATAAATGTATTTTGTCTGAAACTCATTAATCACACCCACATAAACTAACGAGTTGTATTAGTAAAGGGCTGTTTATATGTCTCATCTTATCCGACAAATTATCAGTTTTGTTGGTAATGTACCACTTTTCGTTCTTCTGAGTACGGTATACATTTTCAGCCTTTTTACCCACTTTCTGAACCGTATTCAAACGTTCATTATATTGCAATGATATTTAATTACATTAGTTTCTGACTGAATAAATGTTTGTAAGTGCTTTGAACACATTTAATGACTATACTTTAAAGCATCACAGCATGATGAAACTAGTCTAACGAAACAAAATAAGAAGAGGTTATATTGTCTATATATCGTCTTTTTATCTCCCAAATTGTTAAACGTTCATTTCAGTAAAGGTGTATATAACTGTTCAAACCATTCGCCATTTTGAGGTTTGTCAACGGATTGAACTCAGTAAGAGAGTAGTCAGGTTTATGTCATGCAAAGTTTGATTCAAGACAATACGCAGATTTATAAAAAACCTCTTTGCTCGAATTAATATTAGACCTCTTATGTTTTTTTAACTTTAGGTTTTGTACTACTCTGTTCCACTATTCGAAAGTGTTGGCCTAACCAACAGAGACGCAAGCTTTGTCAATCTTGGGGTTGGAGCAGTTATTGTGTTAGGAACAATTATGTCAATATGTGTTATTGACAGAGGAGGCAGACGAATGCTATTACTCGTTGGATTTTCAGTATGCTTAGTCAGTTTAATTACATTCACAACAGTTTTGTCAGTTCAGAAGTTCAGTCATACATCTTGGTTAACCTACATTTCTATTCTTGTATTATACCTATTTGTTTCAGGATTCTCCTTTGGCCCAGGTATATAAACAATTTTTCCTGTTATTTAATCATCTGATAAAAACTGACTTTTAATCAAGTGTGTTTGTCAAAAAGCTAGGGCAGCTTATCTGAGTAACATACAAAACCAATAAACAAAATTGTGTACAGCTTGTACGTAAATACATAACTTTTTCATGGTAACTTAAACATATGCAAATACTATTAATTTTGTTTGCCTATAACATCTGCTACTATTCTATAAAGGTCGTTATCTACAATTAGAATACTGTTTATGCAAATGTGAAATTTATTCCAATTTTTGCAAACCTATTGCGAGATTTTGACATCAAAGTAAGCTTCACCGTCTGTGTGTTAGAAAACACCAACAAACCAAACAATATTGATTGAAAATTTAAGATCAGTTCATAAAACATAACGTCATCTACTAACTACCCCTAAATATTTGTATAGAACTGAAGATAACGAAGTAATAAAGTTATTTGGCTTTCAGAACTGCTATCGCTGGTAAAACTCCACCTGTAGCTCTTCTAGAGTTACTGTCGGTCCCAAGCCCGGGTAAAGGAAGAGAGTTGGGCATGGGGTTCGCTAAAAAAAACGTTTACCAGAAAAAATAGTTCAAACCATTTTAACTCTGCCCTGGGAGTTAGAAGGTCTTCATTTAGAAGAATTATGACGCTTCATGGTGAAAGCCGAGTTCCTTCGGAAGCCACGAGGCCGATGCCCCTTCTAACAACCAGAGCAAAAATTTTTATAGGTACATGGAACGTTCGAACAATGTGGGAAACCGGGAAGACCAGTCAAATAGCAATGGAAATGAGGAGATACAACTTAGCAGTACTGGGAATCAGCGAAACCCACTGGACCCAAGCTGGACAGAAAAGGCTAGCTACGGGAGAGATGCTGCTATACTCCGGTCACGAAGAGGAAAATGCTCCACACACTCAGGGAGTCGCTCTTATGCTGTCCAAAGTAGCACGAAATGCACTTGTAGGATGGGAGTCTCACGGATCCAGAATCATCAAAGCATCATTCAAAACAAAGAAGGAGGGGATCTTAATGAATATTATCCAATGTTATGCACCCACCAATGATAGCAACGACGACATTAAAGATCAGTTCTACGAGCGGCTGCAGTCAATCATTGAGAAATGCCAAGAAAGGACCTAACTATTCTGATGGGAGATCTAAATGCCAAAGTCGGAATAGACAACACTGGATATGAAGATATCATGGGACGACATGGACTGGGAAAGAAACGAAAATGGAGAAAGATTTGCAAATCTATGTGCATTCAACAAATTGGTCATAGGAGGCACAATATTTCCACACAAGGCTACATGGATCTCACCGGACCACACTACAGAGAACCAAATAGATCATATTTGCATCAAAAAAAAATTCCGAAGGACAATGGAAGATGTGAGAACCAGGAGAGGTGCTGACGTAGCTTCAGATCACCACCTAGTTGTAGCCAATTTAAAACTGAAGCTAAAAAAGAACTGGACAAGTGGACAAACAGCACTACAAAGGTTCAATACAGCCTTCCTTCGAGATACTGACAAACTCAATGAATTCAAGATAGCTCTCAACAACAGGTTCCAAGCCTTACAAGATCTACTGAGAAGAAGAAGAAGAAACTAGTATGGAGGACAACTGGAAAGGCATCAAGGAAGCATTAACTTCAACGTGTCAAGAGGTTCTGGGCCTAAAGAAACACCATCATAAGGAATGGATCTCTATAGAAACACTGGACAAGATCAAAGAAAGGAAGAACAAGAAGGCAGCAATTAACAACAGCCGAACACGAGCAGAGAAAGTCAAGCACAAGCTGAATACATAGAAGCAAACAAACAAGTGAAGAGGAGCATTAGAGCCGACAAGAAGAAATACGTGGAAGAACTAGCAACGACGGCAGAAAAAGCTGCTAGAGAAGGAAATATGAAACAGCTTTACGATACAACGAAGAAACTAGCAGGGAAATACAGTAAACCAGAGAGGCCGGTCAAAGACAAAGAAGGCAAGCCAATCACCGAAATTCAACAACAGCGTAACAGATGGGTAGAATACTTCGAGGAACTCCTGAATAGGCCGGCTCCAATGAATCCACCGGACATCGAAGCAGCACACATAGATCTTCCTATAGATGTCAACCCACCAACGACGGAAGAAATTAGAATGGCCGTCAGACAAATCAAGAACGGGAAAGCAGCAGGACCCGACAACATACCAGCTGAAGCACTGAAATCAGACATCGAAGCAACCACAAGCATGCTTACCTTCTATTCAAAAAGATTTGGGAGGAGGAACAAGTGCCGATGGACTGGAAAGAAGGACACCTCGTCAAGATTCCAAAGAAAGGAGATCTGAGCAAATGTGAAAACTACAGAGGCATTACACTACTGTCAATACCAGGGAAAGTCTTCAACAGAGTGTTGCTGAACCGGATGAAGGATGCAGTAGACGCCCAACTTCGAGATCAACAAGCTGGATTCCGTAAGGATCGGTCGTGCACAGACCAAATTGCAACACTACGGATCATCGTCGAACAATCAGTTGAGTGGAACTCATCACTATACATCAACTTCATTGATTATGAAAAGGCATTCGACAGTGTAGATAGGAGGACATTATGGAAACTTCTTCGACACTACGGAGTTCCTGAGAAGATTGTCAACATTATCCGGAACTCATACGACGGACTACAGTGCAAAGTAGTGCATGGAGGACAGCTGACAGATGCATTCCAAGTAAGGACTGGAGTCAGACAAGGCTGTTTACTCTCTCCCTTCCTCTTTCTTCTGGTGGTCGACTGGATTATGAAGACCTCGACATCTGAAGGAAAACACGGAATACAATGGACAGCTCAGAATCAATTAGACGATTTGGACTTCGCAGACGACCTAGCCCTCCTATCACGTACACACGAACAGATGCAGATGAAGACAGCCAGTGTAGCAGCAGTCTCTGCATCAGTAGGCCTCAGCATACACAAAGGGAAAACCAAGGTCCTCAAATTCAAAGCGGAGAACAGCAATCCAATCACTCTTGATGGCGAAACTCTGGAAGATGTAGAGTCCTTCACATACCTGGGAAGCATCATCGATGAACAAGGAGGTTCAGATGCAGACGTAAAGGCGAGGATCGGCAAAGCAAGGGTCGCATTCCTACAATTGAAGAACATATGGAACTCAAAACAACTTTCAACCAATATCAAAGTGAGAATCTTCAATACGAACGTCAAGGCAGTTCTACTGTATGGAGCTGAAACTTGGAGAACTACAACAACCACCATCAAGAAAGTACAAGTATTTATAAATAGCTGCCTACGCAAGATACTCAACATCCATTGGCCGGATACCATCAGCAATAGCCTTCTGTGGGAGAGAACAAATCAACTTCCAGCTGAAGAAGAAATTAGGAAAAGACGATGGAAATGGATAGGACATACATTACGCAAATCGTCAAACTGCATCACGAGGCAAGCCCTAACTTGGAATCCTGAAGGGAGGCGGAAAAGAGGAAGGCCAAAGAACACATTACGTCGGATTATAGAAGCAGATATGAAAAAGATGAATATGAACTGGAAGGAGCTAGAAAGGATTGCCCAGGACAGGGTTGGATGGAGAATGCTGGTGATTGGCCTATGCTCCTTCACGAGGAGTAACAGGCTTAAGTAAGTAAGTAAGTAAGTATCGCTGGTAAAAATGTGTCCGACAAATATATGTTTCAAGATCACATAAGTGTTGTTTTGAATGAAATCAGCACAGTAACGGATGCAATTATATTTGCCTAACGTTGTCATTCAAATTAAGGTAAATATAAAGCGAAAAGAATCTGGTCAAACAATGATCTTTTGTGGTTCCGGAATAAAGTGTGCTTGTTAAGCGTAAACTTAAAATATGATGTGAAGTACGCAGGAAAAAATCTGTCAGTTTTACTGTTGTTAACAGGATCAAAGAAAAAACATTTTCCTACAAGCATCTGCTTGAATAGTTGACACTGCAGGACACTAATTATTGACGAAGTCCTCATTAATATTTTCAATGTTCCATCAAATAAACAATTAACCTCACTATAAAATTCCAACCAGTTGTAGATTAAAGTAGGAAATTTACTGGATTTCACTATTTCTCATGATGCCTGTGATCATTGTTACTTGTATACGACGGATAATTGTTGATTTTATATTTATAATTTCACCCCTCATGATTTATGATCTTCATTATATTTTCCGGTTACATTCTTAGTTCCCCATTAAACAGAGTCAAATAGTTGTTGAAGTTAGTAGTGTTTAAATTAACTCTGAAAGTTTGTTTTCAAAATATCTGTTTATTGGCAGTGGAGTTAATCATTAAAAATCTATTGCTTTCCAACAGAAATCAAAATGTTAATATATGTAAGCATGTTTAAAAAATGTGAGAACACTTTAACATTTATTTAGATATCCAGGTTCAAATAAATTTTATATAGGTGAATTTGGTACTGAAAGAAGATACTTTGTCAATAAATTGGACGGTTCAGTGAAGACAAGTTCCTTTTCTGTGATTTTATCAACAGCAGCTGTATTGTAGTGAATGAAGGCTCGGGTGGGAAAGGTCAATTTATTGCTTAGTGTGAAATTAGTGTCTTCGTAAATTATGAAAACCATACATTAAATACTTCATTTGTACATCTTTCATGATTCTCTCAATCCTCAATTCCTTTATGTTTCCAGTTTTGTTTTCCTTAGTTCAATCTTCTTAACCTTCTTTCGACAGACATTCCATTTCTGATCAGTGTTACATACTACTTATATCTGTCGACATAAGTAGCATACATCACAGTACCATCGTGTTTACAGCTATTTAACACAAAAATTAATTGAAAAAGGAACTTTATTACTAAGTGATTAGAAATTTCATATATAGTGCTTTAAACGGTCCTGCAAAAAGTTTACGGTTGCTTTTTAGACTAATATGAGTAAGGTAAAGGAAAACCCTTTGATAGCTGGTCAATAATTATTGAAAATCGTAGAGTAACATCAGCTGATTAGTAAATATGGAAAATAGTTGAATAAACGTATCCATAAAAATTAGTGTGAGCCTAAAGGCGTGAGATATCTAAAATTGCTGATGAACAGAAGTTAGTGACCTGTAATCATATAACAGGTAAAAATTAGCATTTATCATATATGCACATTTTAAATCAAGTGAATCGCTTACTTAATATAACTTGCCTTTCTGCAGTTATAATGATCTTATGGAATTTTCAGGCTCTGTTCCTTGGTTCCTCGTGGCTGAACTATTCACTCAAGAATATAGAGATGCTGCACAAAGTGTGGCTGTGGGTACAAATTGGTTGTGTAATATTCTGGTTGGACTTCTTTTCCCTCAACTACTTGTAAGTTTCGATAATGTTTAAAGAAAGATGTTTAATGGACAGCCTTTCACCTTAAATGTTTGCCGAATGTTAGAAAATCATAAACAGAACTTTTATATATTAATCTGGGAATTATAAAACTATTTGCTGCATAAATTTATCTTAATTTGTGAATTATGACTGAAATTAGATGTTGACAAAAGGTATATTAAAAGGCATACTCATATTTATAAGCGGAATCGTGCACGAATCATCCTTTAAATACGTCATATGGTTTAGGATATGTAGTCTGCTTCTAATCAATCTATTACAAAGATGACATGTAGTTCTGTCTCAATATGGTTCAATGTTAATACGGGTATTTCTTTCACTTAATTATGTGGTCGAATTGAGAGCCTAGTTTAATAAGCTTGGTTTACCAAACAGATGTTCTCGGGCACTCCTCACGATACAGCTTTCCAAGAACAGGAGTATGTGAGAATCGATTCAACTTTATTTTTAATAAATATGTTATGACCGTGGACCTCAGTTTGTATAATTTGCAGTTTCTGTGCGATATGCATTCATCAGTTCTGATCATCCATTTACGTTTGGTTTAAGAAATAAGTGTATTTATTTAATTAAAGGATATTATTCCAGTTGCATTCTGCCAATTATTCATCTCTGTATAGATTTCTGGGTTCAGGTATGATAATTTGCTTGTTGTGAAATCACCCTAATAAATCAACGTTATGTGAACATGGTTAAATTTTTAACTTAATCTTTTCCCATCTATAAATAACACAGTTTGTAATTCAATGTAACGTTTTGTTTACATATGTTCAAACAACATTGAAAATGAACTAAGTAATTGTGTATGTGAACAAAATTATTTGCATCCTAATATTTTATTACACAAAGATATTTCGAATTATTAAGTTTTGATTTCTAGGGCCATATATGCACAAATCAGCCTTATATATATATATATATATATATATATATATATATATATATATATATATATATATATATATATATATATATATATATATATATATATATATATATATATATATATATATAGCACTCTGAAAAAGTATCGAACCGAGTATTATTAAAAATTATCAGAGCTCTTTTATTTTGATAGTTGATAAATTTGAAACAATCGAAGAATTATTTCATGAGAGAGAATTCTCTTAGTCTACATCAATCCATTCTACAATACGATTTTTTGAATGGTTATCAGTTTGATCAGTAAGCTTATTGTGATTTGTTTCTGTAATGACAAACGAAAATCTCAATACATGAAACAATCCCAGATATTTAAGTGATATCATAGATATTTTTGAGTTATTTTGATACTATATGAAACAAGAGTTTGTCTCATTTAATATTCGTCAGGCAAATAGATATGCATTAGTCACTGTGGAGACTATAATTTAAACTAGAAAAAAGATGAATTGCGTCTTTCATCCGTAATCTTTATGACGTACTAAGGAAAAATTACATGCTTTCAATATCCGACTTTAACTTTTAACAACAAAAATGGAACTTCAGTATGAAGGTTAGTTACATGCACTGTATAGTTTATCCATCATAGGAAAGTTTATCTACGAGATATAATTGAAACCAATTGTATAAAATACTAAGTTTGCTGTTAAGTATTTGTTGATTCAACGCGATATAGGCAAGTATTTATTCTTTTGAGTAATTCATTGATATACGAAGAGTGATATATTATTTATTTTCAACTATTAATTGAGTACGGATATGCGTAATTGTTTACGTTGTTGTAAGTGGTATAGGTGTAAAACATTTTACATGAGTTTTAAACAATTTTCATGCACTTAGTGAAAAATTTCTCTGAGTCTACTAACGACTTAATGTTTCGTAAATTCAAATTAATGACTCATCTATATTTCACTTGAAAACTACCGTTAAGTTAATTTTCATGTTTGCATACACAGAAAATTTATATGTTATCAAATAATCTCATACTCAATACATTTCCAGTAAAATGATATTAATCTTTATTTGAAAATGAATTTAGACTTCCTTTTAATCAGTTATCAGTTCATTTTATTGCATCAAATTTTCATTGTAAAGTTGAATTCGGTAAAAAACTGTGCTTAAACTTATTAGTTGTGTTTACACTTTTTAGTATTGTGTACTAAATATTAAGTTATATGAATCAATTCTGTTCTATAAATTTATTTTAATGAAGTTGTTTTATGTTTATTGGAAGATGTGTTGTTGTTATTAGAGAACGAATGGAATGAGTGTAATACAAATAGTCTTTAACCTCTGTTAAAACTCTAATTAAAACAAAATACAAGATACTATGAGCTACAAACTATTCACATTTATCTTTCTCATGTTCGTCTAACTCTTTATCAGTCACATCATGATATAGTTTGGTAACTTTATCAGATTTACAGTTAAAGTTAAGTTTTGTTTTACTTTGACTTGAGAACAATTTCGTTACATTCTATAGTAATTGACATATATCTTGATTTACTATATTCACTTTTGATGTCCCCTTGAGAAGAGCGATTTTCTACACGAATTATTTATATCTGTATTCACTTTTATTTGATATCGTATCGTAAATGTTAAAGAGTAATTCTAACCTTTATTTTCTGGCAGTTTTGAGAACTTTAGATTTGAAGATAGGATCTTTACAAACACTGAATACTCTTTTATTTCAGTTACATTTCAGAAGGATGATAATTTATTTATCTTCATTATAAGTGAAAATAAGAGAAATTCAAAAGCTTAGTCGTCTTCGGTAATAGAAAAGGTTGCCAATTGTCTACTTTAACATCATTTCTTCATTGTCTGTTAAATCTGTATTGTTTGTAGATAGAATTAAAGTTGAAGCAACACAATTAAAAAAACATTATAATGAATAAGATTCTGGGCTTAAATGTGACATTTACTGACACAGAGTCACTAAGCTATTATTCTTCTTTACTACTAAAGACTTAAGATTTAGTCATCATTATCCTCACAGAATGAATGTACTTTTTGGAGGTTTCAAAAAGTTATTTATCTATTTCCAAAGTTTTATTTGACAATGAAAATAAATTACACATAATTATATCTTCGGTATATTAATGTACAATATTCTCTGCAATAATAACGGGAAAACTGTACATAAAATCGGATAAAACAGTCATAATAATATAGCAATATAAAATATTTTCTATTTCAATAATTAACATTTTTTAAATCATGTTTTTTTTTTATTTTTCAGGCGCTTATAGATTGTTTTGCCTTTGTACCATTTATTTGTGTGCTCATAATTGTGATTATTCTAATTGCTTTATATTTACCGGAAACAAAAGGATTCAATCCAGTTTATATTGAATCAGTTTTCAAAGCTCAATGTAAACATTCAACACTTATGCCGGTCAGTTAAAGTACCTTTAATCCCAAAAATATTTTTATATCAAAAGACTAAAAGTTAAATGTTACCTTATATTTTATATTAAAACTATGCAAAATATATACATATATGTATACATTGAGAAAGGTAGTTTTGTGGAAATGTTTGTACATTTTGATAATAATTGTTATCATAAGTTCAACTATTGACAGTCATTAAGTATTGGGGGCTACTGAAAAGCTTCAAGATGGATGTTTCGAAATTCTTGTGCACAGCTATGAACTGTAGACTTGACAAAATTGAGAATCGGGCAATAATGTGAAGCCACATTAGTGTTGCAATATTCCATACATAAACATATTCGTTAATGCAAAATCCACTTAAGGAGCCAGTAAAACAGTTTCTCCTTATTTCCCCATTCCTCCAAAAAAAACTCGAGGAAAATGAGATTTCTAGAGATATGGTATCAAAGTTAAACAAGTTTTATTTCCTTTTAATTAGTACATAATTACTTATTCAACTTCTGTTAACTAGATTAATATAATGTAACTGAATGAAAACCGTATTTCATCTGTTCAGTTGATAATTCATTGAGTACTTAGTAGCAATTGATTATTTGCATTATTTTTATAGTTTCACTAAATAAAAAACTCACAAAAGAAGTCTAATGATTTTAGTGAGTCAATTAAAGTCTTTCGAGATGTTGTTTTATAAGAAACTTCTAATGAATTAAAATGTTTATTGAGATATTGCGTAATTTATTACACTAAATGGAAGTAGCTTTAAGTTATTTTCATTAGATGTATTTGTCTATCGCTTTTGCATGAGTTAATATCACTTAATCAGTTGGGTGTTTACATAATGTGTTCGTAAATATTTTGTATTTTAGTTTGCAAATTTTTTACTTCAAAGATCAGTGATTTAGAAATTAAGTCTAGTTTTTCCAATAATAGCTTTAATAAATTATTTTAATACCTTTCATCTGAAAGAAAACTGGAAATTTGTACCGTTTTTCTATTATTACTTAGAACTAAATGTGTAAATTATTAGATTGTTAACAAAACTAATGAAAACCGTTAGGTTTTGAAATTATACTTGCTTGTGCGAATGACTAACCTAAGCCTTTCTGTTTAACAATGATAGAATTAAACCATAAGCTTGAATAATAAACGAAACTTCTTCATTTTTAATAAAAGTAAACTTTGGTTAGAGGTTCGTAAGAACTTTCAAAACAATTCATATTCATGATTTAGTAATTTAATCAATTGCATCACAAAAATTTGTAAACTATCTGACGGTTATTTTTTCACTAACAATTATAAATCTATAATATACACATTGCTGTAAGTGAAACCATTTTACCCATTAAGCCATTTTATTGAAATAAAAACTTCTGCTATACACAGATGATTATTGCTCATCGAGTAGTAATCGACATGATGTTTGCCATATTCTGTATATTGGTCGAATTCCATCAATTACATAAAAATGCGGTGACCAGCATAGGTGACTTAGAATTATGTTCACTATATTTGGACGTCAGATGTTGAGAGGAAAACGATAGGAAGCTCTGGACTTTTTCTTCGCAATAATTTGCATTTATCAGCAAGATATATTTGGGATTTTTAGGTAAATTGATTAGACTGGTGATTATATCAAAATCTTAATCGATAGAAAGACATGAAACTATTTACTCTAAAGAGATCAGGAAGTTTAACTATCCAAGTCATATAGAAGGTCACTCGTTATGCGAATAGTTCGGTGGTGACGTGACTATGGACTTCTTACCGTCTGATTTCAAAGTTAGACCATTGTGTACGAATGTTTCATCAAAAAATAAATATCGCACTAATATCTTGGGTAGTTCAAATATAACTGCGTCAAAATCAATATCATCTGAAAGTCAAAATAATTTTTTATATACTTTAGTAGAATTCACATTATTGGTGTGAGTAAATAAAGCATTGATTTGTATGTTGGTTGTATTAAGCATACGTTTCTCTTGTTAAGTGTTCAAGAGTTGTTCTTATAATATACGCCTTATTATGAAGTGAGATACTGCTAAATTCGCATCGTGTCTACATGTCTTAATCAGGGTTAAGATATTGGAACCGCTATGATATATTGCTATACAATCAGATGTATATACATCCTATTAGATTGAGTAAAACATTCATTTTGTCCCAGATTGGATAGTTTTGTTGTAGCCCAAATATTATAATTGGTCAATTATTAATGTTTTTGTCTTGACAATATATTGAAAATAGTATTAGTTCTTGAACTAAAATAAAACCAAAACGACACGAGATAGTATATGTATTTTAAATACGCCTTCATTTAGTTGGTCTTTCGATTTGTTTTTTTCGCCGACACTTTATCTCATTTCGAAGTTTTTTCTTTCTTTTTCTTAAATTCATGCTGTGAAATGATCATCCAAATAATCAGTATCTCGTACTGATCAATACTGAATGAGCTATCACGTCACACCTTAATTTTCCATTCTCTTTTTGTTGTGTTCTTTTTGTTGGTAATAACAAAATTTAATTTCAATTTGTTTCAAATATTATTAAATTTAGAACTGAGATTTGTTATAAATAAAAAATCTTCATTAGCTAATTTCATTATGTTTACTTATAATTGAACAATAGAATACATAATTACATTGTTATCTTAGTATCTCAAATCATTATATATGAAGAATAAAACTTTTCATTATTATAATTACATTTAGTCTATTCATATATTTGCTAAATGAGGAAATTAATTTGTAAGTGATCTATATATTAATCATTCAGTTATTTTATTATATGACCTATACCTATACACTTATTAGATATAAAATATAAAGTACAAAATTCATTTTAATATTATTAAAATTTGAATAAGATATATACATATTAATAGCACAATACAAGTTACAATATTGTATTATTATGCAATTGTTTATTGAATAAAATTCTCATTAAAATATTGAATTGTAATTGAATATAACATAGTTAAATTTACTTTAATTTGTATACATGTTTTATGATAAATGTATTTAAATACTTAATAAAATTTCATCATAAATATAATCACTACTTATATGATTATGTGTAGTACAATTAAGTGTTTCTTTTGCATAGATTTTCCATATGTATCCAATGGAAACATTTTTAATTAATCACAAAGTAAATATATTCAATAGGCGAATTGTAATTAAATTATTAATATAGGTTGTTTCATTGATAAGATTATAATTAGTTGAATATATATATATGTATATATATTTGTCCATAATTTCAGGGTGATCTAATTTTCACATCATTAATCAATAGCTTAAATAAGGCAGAACTTTTAAATGAAATATAAATATTTACAAGATCATTTCTATGCTCTGTTTATGATGACAATCTGATGATTTCAACTAATTTAGATTAATTTAATAGTTTATTTGATATTTTCAGATAGGGGTTTGGTGGATATTATAATAATTTTTAATAGTTGAATTGATGAGTCAATTGAAGCTAGACCACCATGGAAAACCCGAAAGCACTGAACGGTCGTTTCGTTCTAGTATGGGACTCCTCAGCAATGAGCATCCACGATCCTGAAGCTAGAAATTTACATCTTTGAATGTCGGCTCAGTGGTTCAGAGGTTAGGCGCTTGTATGCGAGACTGATAGGTTGTGGGTCCGAATCTCGCGATGCGGGATCGTGGATGCGCATCGCTGAGGAGTACCATACTAGAACGAAACGGCCGTCCAGTGCGTCCAAGTTTTCCATGATGGTCTAGCTTCAATTGACTTATGAATTCAAATATTAAAAGTTTTTTAATATTTGTTTCAAACAATGTCAATTGTTTCCATATTTTCCCTTCTTTTTCTTTTTTATTTTAGATAAAACGATTTTAATCATCAACTAAAATTATTTAAAATCATACAAATCAGTGCAGTACCATCATTGAATTCGATTTGTAAACGTCACTTTGAACTGTTTTATATTACAGTAAAATGATCAATAAAATTATCCCGTTGATTAATATTGATTCATATTACACTTCTGATCATAAAACAAAATATGACTGTTTATAGCAGATATAATTTTTCGATTGTTCTTATCATTTATTCATATTAACTAAATTTTCGTTTATTAATTTAATAAAATTTAATGATTTTGAGTATTTTTTTTTTCATTGATTATTATCTAAAGTCATGGATACAATAATAATAAAATCATTTAATGAAGAAATTTGTTGCCATTTCATTATTTCAATTTTGTTTAATCAAGTAAATGGAAATACACTTTTAAAGCAGATTAAATAAATCGAGTATTCATTTGATAATTGTGAAGTTTTGGTATAATTTACTAAAAAATATAAACTTTTTAATTAAATTTTATTGTGACTTATGATGGATGAATTATCAAGGTGATGTGCTTGAATATCTGGGTTACCTGTTCTTGACATCTAGATATTTCAACAAGTTATCTGTTTTCTTGTTTGTTTTAACACATCCTTATGCCTATTAGTCGCATAACCTATTCAGGTGCGTTTGTGAAGGGTTTATGACATTTTGCTGCATAACTTACAAAAGATCCTAATCAGAGACATCGTGGTTGTTAGCAATATGGATCGAAAATAATATACATTATTCAGATATCGATTCCTGAGTTGATAATATCTAACTGGGGATCACTCAATATTTATCGCAAGAATCAGTCAAGAAATAAGAAAAGGAAACTTGTTGAAAGACTTTGTGTTGAGAATTCTATATTGTACCAAACATATAATATTGAGTAAAGCCATCAGAAATAATAATAATTTATTAAAGTATACTTTGATTAAGGTTATTTCTGAAATAGTTTTATAGATGAATTTAAGCTACGTCTGTGTAGAATTTCTAATCCTTCCACATTTTATAACAATCTCATTTGTATACAAAATGTGGTAACTGATATTATGTCTATCATAATTATTTATAATGTACTCTCTAAAGACGTGTCTTTGTTAAAGTTATAATTTAAAGTATTAAAACGAACTAACCTTTTGAAAACGTCTAACTGGGAAAACATTATTTTTCATGCTATAACTGAGTCAAAAATGGACTACATCTTTTCATTTGTTTTTCTATTAAGGACGTGTTCGTATAAAGGCTTGTGTAGGTTGTTGAATCTTTAAAGTTCGCATTACGGATAACTCTTAGTTAAACTACCATTGAAAGTCACAAGGCAGTGAACAACCGTTTCGTTCTAGTATGGGACTCCTCAGCAATAGATATGCAAGACCTCACTAAGGGTGACCAAACCCGGAACCTTTAGGTTTCAAGGTAAGCACTTGAACTTTATGCAGCTGAGTCCCAACCAAAGGCGTGCATGTCTAACTACAGTCATTTCAAGATATTACTCAACCCCTTGCCATTGTCTTCGACGGGTAGGTTCCTCACATTCAACATGATTGAACTCCACTGTTTACGGGTTCTTACTAGTATTTTTGGAATAATCCCATGATATTAATCCCTAATGAGCACGTGATTAGTAATAATAATCATTCTAGTCCAATGACTTCTGATTTTTAATGGTTGTTTTACTAAAACAGTCTGTAATGTAAATTATGAAGAGATATAATTTAATCAGGGATCAAGTGAAAGTAAGTTCATTTTTATGAATAATTAACCATGCATCTGTGAAACTTGTTCACAGAAAAATACACCAGTTTTTCAAAAACAGACTTTCAGAAATTCAAAAACTGATTTATTTTCAGGATCTTTTACATTCACTGAAAAAGTTTCAATCCACTGAAATAGTTATTAAGAACATTTTAATGTAAATAGATAAAGATTATCATTTTACCAAGATTTTTTTTCATTTTTTTTTATCGACTTTGATGTACAATATTTCTATGATGTCGAGTATGTAAAGTAAATCTAAGCTATATAGTTTTAAATAACTTCCTGACAAATTTTCACTTATATAGTCAAAAGTAAGAGTTCATAACACATGGACATAATTTGGACTTAGAACCCTCAGCAATACCTAACACTGTCAGTATGCAGTTACATTGTAAACTTGCAGTACATATTGCGTAAAAGCTGGTTGTGGTCTCCTAACTTAACATATTATATGGTTAACCACCATCCAAGTATGTCAGCAGCTAGATTGCAGTTCAGTTTTAGATTGATAACAGGCTTGATGTGATACATGAACATTGTAGTTTTTATAAACTCCGCCTTTGTTCTTCTAAGGCTGCTGAAGGTCCCAAGACCGGGTGGAGGAGAAGAGTTGGGCTTAGGGTCGGCAACCTTGCTAAAAAGCGCTAACAATAGTAAGTATAGTTTTTAGCATGTGATCTACTATGAATTTACGCTACTTTTGAAATGAAATCTGAAATAAAAGAATTAACCAATGGAAACAGTTTTCATTGATTTCTAAATAAGCCTCCCACAGTTACTCGACTAAACTCTTTATTTGGTTTGCATGAATACATGTGAATTAAAAGACCAAAAAGTGTTTGAGATACATTATTAACTATCTTTAAACAAAATAATAACTACCAGTAATTAGTTTCGTTTACCTGACAATATCATCCTAAACAGAAAACCAGTAAGAATGATACTAATGACATTATTAGTTTATGATATTATTCTATAGTATATTTAAACTCAGTAGGACAATTAATGTATTACATTAACATGATTGCTGAAAACGTTTTCTCCTCCTAGAACAACAGTTCTCATTCAAGTGAGCATTGAAAATTTGTCTAGATATGACATATGAAATATTTCTTTTTTTGAAAGAGTTAATGAACTTTCGTCAGAATTTCTACAGGGTAATTTTAGTAAATAGTTTTAATTTGATGTATAGGATTTCTACAATAACAATTACATAATTTGAAACCAAAATGCCAGAATAAATTTGTTGCACTTTTAAAGATTAATTGTGCTAATCGATATCTCTGCATGTAATTATAAATTTATATCCATTCAAGTTGAACTAGTTAGAGCTAATAGGGGGAGGGGCAGTGTGCTTTATTTCCATAATTAGAAAGTTTAATTTTATCTACTTTTCTTGTAGTAGTTTGTAAATTGGTAGAAAACATTTATTTGTAATTTTGGATCAAGTAATGTCAGTCACTTAGCCGAACATAAAGTAGAACATGGTACTTGTGTACATCGGTTCAAGTCACCATGACCGATTGGCCAAACGAGATAAAATTGTAAGGGGAAATCATGGAGTAGTAGAGGCAGTAACAGTATAAGTGGTAATGGATAAAATTAGGCATCAGGGATGTGATTCAAGAAAATCATATGAAATGGACGTGTAGAAACTTAGTCAAAGATAAAGTGACACTCGATTCATCGCTTATTAGTTTAAATATGCATGTTACACCTCGTGGAGAAACATAGGTTACCCACCAGCATTCTATATACAACTCTGTCCTGGACAATACTTTACACTTGCTATTCATCCTTTTCATGTCTGCTTTCAATTGTCGAAGCAGTGTTTCCTCTGGCCTCCCTGTTTCCTTTCAGGATTCCAGGTTAGAGGTTCTTCATGATGCAGTTCGTTGATTTCCGTAAAGTATGCCCTATCAACTTCCAACGACTTTTCCTAATTTCCTATTCCGATGGCAGCTAAGTTGTTCTCTCACACAGTAATCTGTTGCTTATGTTATCTGGTTAACGAATATTGAGTATGTTATGTAGGTGATTGCTTAGAAATACCTGTAGATTTTTGATGATGGTTACAGTAGTTCTCCAGATTTCAGCTCCATACGGTACTACTGTCTCGACGTTCGAATTGAAGATTCTGACTTTGATGTTGATTGACAGTTGTTTCGAGTTCCACATGTTCTTCAATTGTGCGAATGCTATCCTTGCTTTTCCAATCCTTGCATTTACGTGTGCATCGGGTCCTCCTTGTTCATTTATGATGCTGTTCAGGTACGTAGATGTTTACAACTCTTTCAGGACTTCTCCATCAAGTGTGATTGGGTTGGTGTTCTCCATGTTGTGTTTGAGGACTTCGCCTCTTTCCTTGTGTGTATTGAGGTCCAATGATGCAGAGGCTTCTACTACACTGGTTGTTTTGAACTGCATTTGATCGTGTGTATGGGAGGAAAGAGCTAGATCACTTGAAAATTCAAAATCGTCTAGTTGCATCCAAGTTGTCCATTGTACTCCGTGCTTCCATTCAGATGTGGAGGTCTTCATAATCCAGTCAACCACTAGAAGAGAGAGAAAGGGTGAGAGTGGGCAGACTTGTCCTCCATACGTGATGTTTCAATGTAATCCGTCTTATGAATTCCATATGATGTTGATGATCTTCTCACATACATCATAGTGTCGAAGAAGTTTCCATAATGTTCTTCAATGTACGCTGTCAAAAGCTTCCTCATAGTCAAAGACGTTGGTGAGTCGTGATGAATTCCATAAGAATGATTGGAACGCAAGAATGAAATTTGAATGCGTGTATTTCATACAGTTGTTGGTGGGAGGCCGAGGCAAATCGAAATGATGCAGAATGGAGAATGCGAATGATTGAACTCAATTTAGCGAAGGCTGAATGGATATTTATGGTCAGACCAAAAATAAGTTACAGACATGTGATGAGGAGTATAAGAAATGCACACACATGCGATTAAATTAAAACAGGCAAGGTTGATAAGCGAATAATCAACAAGATCAAAATATAGCTTGAAGAGAATGGTTAATTTGTTTGTCCAGAAACTAGAATAAGCTATGTGGTCTCGACATAGGACCAGCCACTATATGCCTTTATGTGTGACTTTGGTTCATCAGGTGGTTGTCGTCAGGTGCTGCTGATTTCGCATACTTGATTTGACTGATGACCAGCCTGATTCCTTCGATTGTTGGTGGAGTAACATCTATATGAATGTCTGTGTGTGCTGCTTCGG